TAAATGAATATAGATGTTTACAGATTATTACAGATGTTTACAGATGAGCATAGACGTTTACAGGTTATTACCAATTTCTACAGATGAATATAAATGTTTGCAGATTATTACAGATGAATACAGATTAATATAAACATTTTCAGATGCTTACAGATGTTTAAAGATTAATAAAGATGTTTACAGATGAATACAGCTGTTTACAGATGAATCTAGATGTTTACAGATGCATCTAGATGTTTACAGATGAATACACAAACTTTTTCAGTTTTAAAAGCTTTTTAAGCTTTTTAATTAAAAAGCTGATGATGTTTCTGATCAGCTGATGCACATGTGCAGCAAAAGTCGAATCAATGCAAGTTGCATGAAGTAAATATGTGTTTAAAAGTAAATAGATACATAGCAGTATACAGTCCTGCACCTGAAGGGGTTTCTATAACCTAATTAGAGGGTGTAAATCTATAGTTTCAAGAGGCCTTTTCATTGGTTGTTAATCTTTGTTTTACAAAAACAACACATTCTTTACCAAAGCATCTTTTGTACATAATCCATGCTAGGGTCATCATTTTTTAAATTCTGATCCTGAAAATCCCTTTGCATGGAGGTCCCTCTTCCACCTCACACACACACATTCAGAGAGGTAAAGGGGCCCAGAGGAAATAACTGGAGGCACTGATAAATATTTTTCCTTACACCTCCATTCTTATAAAATCCACCTGCGCTCTATTAAATCCCTCTCCTATTTTATTCATTTCTTTCTTCCCAGCCCTCGATTTGTATGTGACTGACCTGCAACGCATGTTTATGAGCGGCATACAAAATCTGAACCTTTTAACCTGAAAAATACTGAAACTAGAGCTGCAGGTAAATTACTTTACTTGCACTTGTGTGAGTGAATATATGAAGCGCCTGACTGCACCAGAATTATTAATACAATTAGAAGCATACCACTCATCTTTGTGCGACTTTGTGGTCACTAAGATATTCTTCTGCAACATTTAACCATAAATACACACTTGGGTGCAGTCTAATTAAACATGGCTTACAGAGATGATGCTTTATAGGCAACAAAAGAGAAAAAAGTAATTGCCATAAAGATGACCTACAAGCGTAACAATAATTAGAAGATGACACACGAAAACAATAAGAACAAAGAAAAATGAGGTAAAAGAATAAAACATGCTCCAGTTGACCCCAATCAGTGTTTTTTTTTTCTGCTTTAAAGTTTAACATTTCATCAGAACAAAGAAAGAATACCAATAATGGCACACAAAGACAACTAAGAGTACTTCGCACAATGCATTGTTCTCCAAGATAAACCCAAATGGTGTTAAAGTTCTATTGTTGTGTGCTTTTGAAGCAAAAACACATTACGTTGAAGCTTTAAGCGTTGTATTTAAGTGGATAGGTGCAGCTTCGTAATTCTGAGGACGCGCGTTCGTTAAGTGGTATGGATGAGTTTTGCTAAACATTTCAAGCACAGAATATCTTTTCATTAACTGTTGCAAAATAATCTTTGCTGAGGCACTGATGCCTGATGCAAAGATTTCTTGGGATGTCATGTTGAGTGGTTGCAACAGCATGAGATAAATGTGTTTGTTACATCTGCAAGGGGGGAGAGAAGTTGAAGAATATCACTTGGTTGTTAGACATGAGCTGTAACCAGTGACATCAAGTATTACCTCTCTACAAGACAGAAAATAGAACAATCGCACCAGAGCTGCAAGAAAGCAGAAAAATGTGTGATGTGCAAAATTAAATTGCAACATTTTACCCACTCTTTATATTCTCGTCCGTTATCACAATCATCATTTAAACCAGGTGTGAGCATCATGCATGTATTTGAAGCAGAAGGTTTGTAGTTTATTGCAGTCCAAGCAGTTTTTTTGAATAAAGATACTGTGCTGATAGTACGCGGAGCATAAATTCTTGATATTTTACACAATCCTGAATTGTTCTTGTTTGAAAGCCTTCCTGTGTTTACATAAATCCGTGTTTATTGCTCACCAACATAAACGGCAGCCTGTGTGTGTGTGTGTGTGTTTGTGTGTGTGTTTGTGTGACTGTTAGTACAATACCTCCTGAATAAATTTTAATGAAACTAAGAATTTAGTGTATTTCTATAACTGTTTTTTTTTTTTTTTTTTTGGTCAACATGATTTAAGAGCTAGTTACCCAATAATATTACCAATAATATAAACTATAAAAAAGAAACAGATCTAAAATGTGCGCTAAACAATAATAATATATTATAATACGGTTTATTACATATCATCCAGAACATGACTATGTTGTGAGCAGATGGGTATGTATTTAGCTGCTTAATGTAAGAGATCAGCAGCACAGATAAAATGACAATCCTAATTAAAGTGGCATTACAGTGATTATTCTGGTTAGAGATTAATGAGTCTAACAGCCTCAGGGTAGAAGCTGTTCCTCAGTCTAGTGGTTTTACAATTAATGCTCCTCAACCTCCTTCCTGAGGGGAGTGGGGCAAAAAGTGTGTGTGCTGGGTGAGTGAGGTCCTTCATGATGCAGGTGGCCCTCTTCCTGCATCTGGAGGTGTAGATGTCTGTGATGGTGGGGAGGCTGACTCCAACATCTTCTGTGCAGCCTTCACCACTCTCTGCAAAGCTTTTCTTTCTGCAGCTGTGCAGCCTCCATGCCACACGTTGATGCTGGAGCACAGGATGCTCTCCACTGCTCACCTGTAGAAGGAGGTGAGGACTGAGCTTCCCAGACCAGCTCGTCTCAGCCGCCTGAGGAAGTAGAGTCTCTGATGAGCTTTCTTCATCAGGCTGGTGGTGTTGTTGCTCCAGCTGAGGTTGTTGTTCAGGTGCACACCCAAGTACTTGTAGCTGGAGACCACTTCCAACGCAAATCCTGACCTTTAAAAACACCAAAATATCAATAATGCAGTACATTTTAAAGATACTGAGCTAAACTCTGGTGGGGTAGTAGCTGATAGCCATCTGCAACACAGAACTCTAACAAATTCACCTCACTGATGGGTCATCCTGTAGAGACTGTTCATTCCCTCCACTAATGCATTGCTGTCTTGCACGTATATTTGATATGATGATCCCCGCCCACATTGAGGCAGCACTCTGCTCATGGCAAACACAACCATGGCCGGGGTCGAGTAAGGACAGGCTGACTACAGCCAGGCCAGGCCGTGACGGGCTTTATACTGTAAAAAAAAAACAGTTGAATACCTTGTGCACATGGAACTTGTATTGTCTTTTCACATACGAGTTATGTTGCCATTGTGTTTCCAATAAAAGTGCCACTTAAGTCACACTCTTACTTTTTAGAGTGCTATTGCTCATGGGCTGTCTTCAGGTCAGCTTGCCCCTAAGCGGCAGTACAATGCTTGACTTTAAACCTGCGAAACATGGACACGTGCATCTAAAGTGCATGGATTTAAAGGACAATCAAAATTGTTGTAATTAACTTTTGTCCCTGTGAAATTTAACATTTAAATAAATAAGAGTTGCGTCATGTATGTGTTTTCAGCGTTGTCTATATTTCTAAAACGTAAATTAATTTTTTCTGTCCTCTTTCTGTTTCACCTCCATTCTTCCCGTCTCGTTCTTTCCCATCCTCATCTCTCTCTGTCCTCACATTCACTCGCTCCCCACAGAGAAGTGTGATGAGGCTCTAGCCTCTCCTCTACCTCACACGGCCTTCACCAGCTCATCTGTCTTCTCCGGTGGATATGCACCTGGATATGCCAAGCTCAACAGGAGAGGAGGTAGGCACACATGTCCACTCACATGAACAGAAAGAAAACACCACAAACATCCCTGCACTAACACAAAAATGAAAGCTGTGGTCAAGATCTTATTGTAGACACACAAAAAGAGAGTAATGGTCTCATTTAGATACATGTGCATACAACCTTATCAGTGATTTTTGCAGATGACACACTGAGAGATAAATGCCTGAGCCTACATATAGTGACACGCGTCGCAGTGCCTTACAGCTGCTCTAACCTCCAATTCCTTTTTCGCTTATTTTCTTCCGTTACTTCTTCCTTTGTATTCCTTTGTCCCTCCACCCCCTCCCAGTCTTCAGTTTTAATCATTATCTCAGTGGCTCAGGCAGAAGCTCATTTCCACATCAGTCTGCAGCTAAAAGAGATATGGACAGACAATTACACCCCTTTATGTTTATACAATTAATAATTCATAGTTTCCCATCTAATGGAGTCACCCTGCAGCTGAGGCGACTGGGTGGTGAATGCAGACCTGGCGAGTAAAGGCAAGATAATCTGGGGTTTTAATCTACTGAATTACTGCTAGGAAAGAGGCCAGGAGTGGGACTTCTTTGGTATGTGCTTTCTGACCAACCAGAGACAAAAACTAAATGAAAAGAAGAAGAGTACTATCATCTGTGCTATTGAAGTGTAATTGTTTAGCTTTATTTGTTGGACATGCTGTCTTTCATTGACATTTTTCAGGAGTCTGTTTCTGTGTTTAACCTCCTGAGAGCCAGGCTTTTGTTGTCCAAAAGTACATGGAATTAGTAGCGCCTGATAAATTAAATACATTATCTAAACTCTGTCATGGTACAGAAAGTAGTTTTAGAAAAAAATGTCCTCATATGAGGACAGGTTAACTTTTGCATTTTTTTTTTCTTTGCTAATTGGAGTTGGAGTTGCATTTGGGCCCAAAAATACGATCCGACCCGGCCCCGGCCCGTAACCATCATTTCCGAACCCCACCCTACCCGATGATTTAACAGTAATTACAGGTCTGAACCCAAAACAACCTGCAATATTTTTAATTAAGCTTTGATTGCTTATAATATATTAATGGCCCATTGGACGCGCGGGCTGTGGTAAAGTTAGTTTTACATTGGATGTTGGACATTCGAGCTCCGTGGCTTCAGCGGTGCGTTCCTCTCGTTCGAATTCGGCTGACCGAAATCAGACTGTCTGAACGAGAAGAAGACACCGCTGAAGCCACGGAGCTCGAATGTCCAACGTAAAACAAATTTTACCGCGGTGACGCGTGACTGAATAAAAGGGGCAGAAGATCGGAGCTGGGGGGGGGGGGGTGTTTGTCCTTTCATGTTCGTCAAAGAGCATTAAAACAATGTTTCTGCTACAGAGCATGCATCAGGATAATGTTTCTGCTACATTCTGATTTATTCAGACACGGACCCTGCTCTGACAAGTCTGCGTTGGGATTGCACCTGTTTGGGTCATCGGCCGCGCTCGTCCGCTGAGTGCAGCGGCAGAATGAACGTCCATTTGGACGATGGATCGCTGCCGGGCTGTATAATCCCTTCTGACGCTTAACTGAACTTTATTTTACCTGTTTCAAATCCGATCAGTTTACGGTGAAATGGTCGTGTGCGGCTGGTGAAGGTATGGCAAGTCATGTTGCCATATAATTGGATCGCGGCTGATCCGCTGACCCAATCAAAAACCCAACACCGACCCAACCCGCCCATCCAGCACATTATCATGGCCCAGCCCGCCCCAAATTCAAGCCTAGCTTTCGCCCAGGTTAGAAATGATATCTCTAATTAGAGTCAGGAAGTCCCAATTACGCTAAAAACAAAATGTCAGCTTTCTATGATAAGCAGTTCTCTAAAAAAAATGATGTCCTCATATGAGGATTTGGGGTCTCAGGATGTAAAATAATGTATTTAAATCTAAACACACAAGCAAACCAAACTCTTATTTCTAAAATCTGAGTATGTTTTTTTCCAAGACTATTAAACAGCAAGGACACTGTTTTATTAAAACTCTATGAATTCCACATGGACATATCCAGTCTAATCACATAACAACTGGAATTTTGCTCATGTGAAAGTTCACAAGAGAAACTAACATGGGAGATGTGAAAAACACACGTGGACATTGTGTTTGTCATGTAGCGGTGGAACATTATTAGAGTAATAACCTGTGAAACTCATGGAATTATACTAACACCTGTGTGAACAGACAAAAGAAAACATTTCATAAAAATGATACAACTTGTGCTAAATCCATTCAGCATCCTTATACGTTTTGTAGCTCCAGGTGAAATATTTAATATCCAATAAAAAAGTGGAGATTTTATCAAAATTTAGACAAAAGAGTAAAATGGGTTTAGAACTGGTGAACATATCTTTAGCAACAGCAACTGAAAGTCTGTGTTTAATGTGATTTTCCAACATTTTCCTGTCTTTTTCTGTGAAAATAGAGGATTGATAAACCTGGATTATTTGGATTATCCAATCCAGACTTCCCTCATTTGAGCAAGCATCCTACTGTGCACATTCTCGTGTTTTTGAGTTAGTATAAGAACCATTAGAAAAGTAGAATGCATCCAATTGCATAACTAATTATTTTTAAATAACATATTTTTTAACATTATGGCCAAAATGGTATAAATTTGAGGATAATTACAATTACATCCAAATAGTTACAATTTATCACCTAATTACAATTTTTTTACAGCCTGACAATGTGTAATGAATCTAAGTTAATGAAAAATAAATAGTTTGTATTTAACCATCTGTTTAACATTCATGCAGATAACAGTGTTTAATGCAAGTATAAATTGCGTAAATATAATGGTGGAAGTTACCAGCTGAACTTTTCTGTTTAACGAGGTTGCACCGTCACAATAATCATAATTAACTGCGTTGGCAGCACTAGTTTGAGAATGAGCAGAAATGCTTAGTTTCTGTGACCAATTAAAGTCCAGAAGTTTGAAATTAAAATGAAATAACCCATCCCTAATGGGATTACAGTTGGTGCCACATGCACATTCGTTAATTCTCACATCAGAGAACTACAAAAGTTAATCATCTGTGCACATCTGTATGTTGACTCAGCATAAGGACAATGGGTGTTTCTCGTATTCTAATATGTTTTAAATCCGCTTCTTGAATATTTATTTTATTTTAAGTTGAGTAGACAAAGATGTCTAACTTCATCCTAGTGCTGTAAATTAAAGGTTTGGCACTTTATCGAGTCTGTGAGATTATATCTATATTTCTTGTGGTGTTTCTGTGTTTTGTAGTAAATTATGATACTGCTATCCCAACTCTTCTCCGCTCTTTTTCTCCTTCACCACCTGTCGTCTTCGCTCACAACACAGCAGTCCACAGTATGAGTATGTTCTTATAAGCTATTCTCCTCCAGTTTCCCCAATGCTATAAAACAGGGGAGGCACAAAATCAATGAAATGCAATTAACAGCCCAACGTGTTGCAGCGAAACCTATCTTCTTATTTTTCTCATATCTCCCTTTTCTGGGATCCAGACCCAGCCTGAATGGCAGAGAGAATCTCAGCTGTACAACAAACAGGTTCAATCAGAAGCTGATTCACGGTGAAATGTGCCACCATTGACATGTGCACGCATTCTGTCGAAATGACTACATTCAGTGCGTGTCAAAAGGGCAGGCAGCATGCTAAATGTTAAAAAACTTGAAACCAACTACCGTACTTGCTGCCGTACACGTCACACTGCTGTATAAGTCACATTTATTATGCGTCACCGCTGACTCGTTGCATTTGTTATACGTCACCGCTGACCACCCGGGAACATGGACCGGTGTTGTGCCAAAAATCGTCTGGCTGCCAAATAGCAATTGCGAGAGCATTCACGGGAAGACTTTAACAAAAAATTTACAAGATAACCACCTAAAAACAATTATTTGTTTGTCCGAAATTATAGTAAAGGTGTGTCTCAGTTTAACGTTTCCTTAATAAATGTACTTTATACCAAATCAGCTGCATTTCGCCTGGGTGGCACGGCAAAATGCAGCTGATTTTGACGTTTGCGCCAGGAGTTCCGAAGCGAGACGAAGGCGATAGATGAAGCTTTTGTCCTTGGGTACTCATGTCCCAGGAGAAATTTGATAGTCAGCCCGTCTCCGAGGCCGTCGGGAGTCTGATTCAGATAAGCTTGATTTTTGTTTTATCTTCAGGCAGACAGATTTTTTTCTTCAGCTTTGAGTCCATCTGGGCGTTCTGGTTCCGAAAATGCCTAATTGTGGGATTCCATTCCACTGATCATGCTATGAGTCTCCTTCAAGGTCGAACCCGCCACGCTGATGAGTCCCAGAAGCTGCAGGTAGCCTGTGATTCTCAATCGCCTCCACCTTACGGTTAAGCTCGTAAACCAGACGATTTAAAGTTCCCACAGCGAGGACCAGACCTTCACACTGACTCGGGAGCTTTTCCATGGCCGAAACTGCTCCCGATGTCTTTTTCAAAAGTCGATAAAACAGAGCCCCGCCGATGCCAAAAAGCAGAGTCCCTGCTATCATAGATCCAAATATGTAAACATCTTCAACATCCTCCTGAGACAGGACTGTAATGCACATCAATTGCCACACTCCCCACGAATCCATGACATACCCCACAGCGTGAGTCTCAGCTGGACACGCCGGTTCCCCAGGACCTCGTCGTTTTGATGAAAAAATCTTATCAATAGAGTTGAACACCCACGATACCAAATCCATAATCTTCTTAATTTATGTTCGGGAGATGAGACCCAGGCGCTTCAGACACACAGAGAGCAGAGCAGGAAGAAGGAAAAAATGGGGGAGGAGAAACGGAAGCTGCCACCTCGATGAGAGCCTGGGATGAATGATGCATGTTGTTGGAATGATAACTTGAAAAATAGGTGAGGCACATTTGAAGCTTTGATCATTTGTCAGTCAAAGCTCGTGTATGGCATCTCTGTCACTAAATGGTAGTTTTTTTCCTGCTCATTTTAAAACAGCTATAATGGGTTTTTTTCTTC